AGCAGGGCAGCCACTTGGCATGTGACACGGAAGCTAGTGGAGATCACTGGAGTAGTGGTTTCTACTACAGTGTTTTCCAGCTTCCAGGAACATTGGACAGGTATGTTATACAGTATACATAGCTACAATAGCCCAAGCTGGATCAGTGTAATTAAGCATAAAATATACCTGGAATTCCATTCATGAAAACACATGTTATATAGTTTAATGATAATACAAATAAAATGCATGTAAAACACACCTAAAATGCAAACCACCACAGAGATTTAACCTGGGGTTAGAGCTAGGGTTAGGGTTAGCATTAGAGATGAAATCTGCATTCACACCATCCATGGTTTTGCAGTTTCAGTTTTACATGTGCCTGCATATTTATGTGTGGTTTTGCTGGGTCAAACCTTTTTAACCACTTGAGCCCCAGAGGATTTACTCCCCTTAATGACCAAGCCTTTTTTTGCTGTTTGGCGCTGCACTAATTCAAATGATAATTGCGTGGTCATGCAATGCTGTACCCAAACGAAATTTATGTCCTTTTTTTCACACAAATAGAGCTTTCTTTTGGTGGTATTTTATCACCTGTGCGCTTTATATTTTTTGCGCTATAAACAAAAAAAAAAACACGAAACTTTTGAAAAAAAACAATATTTTCTACTTTCAGCTATAAAAAATATATCGTAAACTCAAAGTTAGTCATAAATTTAAGCCAAAATGTATTCTGCTACATGTTTTTGGTAAAAAAAATCCCGTGCATTAGCGGGCAAACTGGCGCTATCTAGGAGGGGCGCTAACACTATCGGAAGTCACCAGTGACACTAATACAGTGATCAGTAAAAATCTGTTCACTGTAATCAATGACACTGGTGACAGGGCAGTGAAGGGGTTAACTGGGGGGGGGGGGGGGCGATCAAGGGGTTAAATGGGATTTCCGGTGCACTAGCGGGCAAACTGGCGCTATCTGGGAGGGGCGCTAACACTATCGGAAGTCGCCAGTGACACTGATACAGTGATCAGTAAAAATCTGTTCACTGTAATCAATGACACTGGTGACAGGGCAGTGAAGGGGTCAACTCGAGGGGGGGGGGGGGCGATCAAGGGGTTAGACGGGATTTTTGGTGTATTAGCGGGCAATCTGGCGCTATCTGGGAGGGGCGCTAACACTATCGGAAGTCGCCAGCGACACTGATACAGTGATCGGTAAAAATTTGGTTCACTGATCAGTGACACTGGTGACAGGGCAGTGAAGGGGTTAACTGGGGGGGGGGGGCGATCAAGGGGTTTAAACGGGATTACTGGTGTATTGGCGGGAAATCTGGCGCTATCTGGGAGGGGCGCTAACACTATCGGAAGTCGCCAGCGACACTGATACAGTGATCAGTAAAAATCGCTTCACTGATCAGTGACACTGGTGACAGGGCAGTGAAGGGGTTAACTGGGGGGGGGGGGCGATCAGGGGGTTAAATGTGTCCTAGAGTGTTCTAACTGTAGTGTAGTGCTTGTGTACTCACTTTTTGGATGTCTTCTTCTCTGTCTGGAACGGAATGTGTCCAGGCAGAGAAGAATGACATCATATTCTGCCCTGTGTAAATATCAACACAGGACAGGATAGGACAGGGACCGATCATGTGATTTCAGCCAGAAATCACTGGCTGAAATCTAATGATTGATCCCTCCTGGATCGAATTGTATCACCCGCGGGTCGGCGGGAGCCCGCGCGCGCACCCCCCCTACCCGCGAATGTGTCGGGAGCGCGGAGCACGTTTTAAAATGTGCTTTTGCGCTCCACTGCCGCCCTGCACATGTATATACACAGTGGCAGGGCGGCAAGCGGTTAAGGCCTTTTGTACACATGAACTTCCCTAGATGCAGCTGCAGAAAAACACTAAACCTAGCAAAAACGCATTTACCCGCGTTTAGCGTTTGGACATTTCTTCATTTGATTGGTCAGAGTATTTTTAATTAACATGGCTAAAGACCAGGTATAAGAGGGAAGGATTTGGGTTTCTAGAGCACTGGGCTGCCTTTTCATTGGGGTGCAACCTATATGCTAGAGATGATTTGCACCTAAATGGAAGGGGGTCTGCTGTGCTGGGGGAGAGGTTTATGGGAAGGCTGGAGGAGTATTTAAACTAGGATCAAGGGGGGAGGGTGAGTTAGATTATAACGGGGTAGACAGATCAGACAGGGGTCAGTACTAATCAGTACGTGGAATGGGGAAAGATGGGGGGGCTATGGTAGATGATAAGAAGGTTCCCATGTTACAAACAACCAATGGAATTGGTATCATTTGATGCAAAATACAAGGTGTCAATTATTATTATTTTTATTATTATTATACAGTATTTATAAAGCGCCAATAGTTCACTCAGCACTGTACATTACAAAGGGGGACAGAACATGTGACAGAACAATACCAATACAATGCAAAACATGAGGAGATCGAGGTCAATGAATTAAAGTGTTTGTTCACCAATGCCAGAAGTCTGCCAAGCAAAATGGGTGTTGGAAGCTTTGGTGCATGAACAAAAATATGATTTAATTGGTATTGCTGAATATTGGCTTCATTCTTCACATGACTGGGCCATTAATATTCCTAGCTATGTTCTCTTTCGGAGAGACAGGGGTAAATAGGAAAGGTGATGGTGTCTGTCTCTATGTGAGAAGTGATCTCAGAGCGAGTGTGAAAGAGGACCTAGTTGATGGAGAGTGTGATGAGGCTAAAGGTTAGTTTAACTTCTATAGTTGGGAAGATACTGGAGAGTTTAATAAAAGACCAAATAGATGAGTTCTTGCTGGAAAAAAAACATTTTAAGCAACAGACAGCATGGATTCATGAAAGACAGAAGTTGTCAAACAAATCTGATTTCTTTTTATGAGGCGGTGAACAAAACCTTGGACAGAGGGGTGGCGGTGGACGTGGTATACTTGGACAGAGGGGTGGCGGTGGACGTGGTATACTTGGATTTTGCAAAAGTGTTTAACACAGTTCCCCACACACGGCTAATGTGTAAGGTAAAGTCTACGGGCTTGGAAAAATCAGTATGTAAATGGATAGAAAACTGGCTAAATGATCGCATTCAAAAGTAGTGGTCAATGATTCATACTCTGAATGGTCTAGGGTTGTTAGTGGTGCACTCCAAGGTTCAGTGTTGGGACCCTTACTTCTTAATATATTTATAAACAATATAGGGTCTGGAATTGTAAATACCATTTCAGTCTTTGCAGATGACACCAAGCTGTGCAGTGGAATAACGTCCTTACAGGTTGTCTCCAATTTGCAAGCCGACCTCAATGCACTGTTTAATTGGCAACTATGTGACAAATGAGGTTTAATGTTGATAAATGTAAGGTTATGCACTTGGGGGCTAAGAATATGCATGTATCTTACATACTAGGGGGGTACAACTGGGGGAATCAATGGTGGAGAAGGATCTGGGAGTTCTGGTAGATCACAAGCTTAATAATGGCATGTAATGCCAAGCTGCAATTTCTAAAGCGAGCAAAATCCTCTCTTGTATTAAAAGAGGTATAGCCTCCAGAGAGAGAGATATTATTTTACCCCCTGTACAAATCATTAGTAAAATTTCATCTGGAATATTCAGTTAAGTTTTGAGCACCAATTCACAAAAAGAACATTGGGGAACTGGAGAAAGTACAGAGAAGGGCAATCAAACTGAGGCATGGAGGAGCTCAGCTATGAGGAAAGATTAGAGGAACTGCATTTATTCTCTCTTGAGAAGAGGAGATTAAGGGCAGATATGATCAACATGTATAAATACATCAGTGGTTCATATAATGAACTCGGTGTAGAGCTATTCACCCTGAGGGCATCACAGAGGACAAGGGGGCACTCTTTACGTCTGGAGGAAAAGAAATTTAATCTCCAAACACAGAAAGATTTCTTCACAGTAAGAGCTGTGAAAATGTGGAATAGACTCCCTCAAGAGTTGGTTCTGGCCAGCTCAGTGGATTGCTTTAAAAATGTCCTGGATTCTTTCTTGGATGCACAGAATATAACTGGATACTAACATTTATAGGTAAAGTTGATAGAGGGAATATCCGACTGCCGCTCGGGGGATCAGGAAGGAATTTTTTTCCCTGCAGGAGCAAATTGGATCATGCTTTGCTGTTTTTTTTTGCCTTCCTCTGGATCAACTGTGGGTGTAGGATTATATATTTTTTTTTAATGGTTGAACTGGATGGACTTTTGTCTATTTTCAGCCAGACTAGCTATGTAACCTTGAATAATAGCCCAAAACACTAAACATGGTTAGCGTTTAGATGCGTTTTTCACGAAGTTAGCGTTTTTTTTGGCCAAAAAACATTCCTCTCCTGAATGCGATTCTCCTGCGTTCAGGAGAGGAATGTTTAACTGCCCCTAAACTCTGCTGCTTCTAAACTCTGGTAAAAAACCTATATTGAACACAGGCTTTTATTGAGTTGAGTTCAGGGGCTTTGGCAAAAAAATGACAAATGCTCCTAAACTCACGTTTAGGATCAGCAGTGTGCATGAGGCCTAAATCTTCAATATTATGCATGGCTTCTGAATCATGGTCACTATTCTTAGAAGGGATAATAATGGTGAGAATTGGATAAGCCAGCTCCCTCACGCCAAAATGTGGGCTCATGTTAGTCATATTGTTGTTGTAAATTGGCACTGCTAGGGAGAGCTGACATTCTATATAGGTGAGCTTTGGGAGATCTATATTTAATTGTACTATTCTATGCTCTGGATTGAAGTGGTGGAATACACTATCTTGTGTGTTATCCTTTCCTGTTAACATATTTCTCATAACTAGAGATGAGCGAAGAAATGAAAAATTCGATTCGACTGATTCGGCGAATTCGTGGACAATATTCGATTCGAGTCGAATAAATTCGCTGTGAATTTAACTTAAAAAAGGGTGTTTCTAGGCTTCAGAGAGACTTAATATTAGTGCAGAACACTGTACCTTTAATTTAAATGCCCTTGGAGTCTGCTGGGGAAGAGAAATAATACTGTCACTCAGTATGACATGCAGATGAGTGCCGTCGATCTTAGAATCACCGCACACTTCACTCATTTGGCCAGTCACGGGGCCAAAACCAGTGTTTGGAGCCACAGTGTGGCGGTGGAGGGCAGCAGCAATGGGAGGCCATACAGCAACCTATGACAAAATGGAAACCAGCAGGAGTGTGAGGAGACCTGAAAGTGGCACATGGCAGAGTGGGAGCAATGGGAGGCGGTACAGGGACCCAGGTCACACTGTGGGCCCAGCAGCAGCGTGACCAGGCGGTACGGGGGCCCATGGCAGATTTGGGGCCTGGCAGCACCTATGGGAGGCCTGTAACCTGCCAGCAACCTATGACAAAATGGAAAACCGCAGGAGTGTGAGGAGACCTCAAAGTGGCACATGGCAGAGTGGGAGCAATGGGAGGCGGGTACAGGGACCCAGGTCAAACTGTGGGACCAGCATCAGCGTGAACAGGCGGTACGGGGGCCCATGGCCGATTTGACCTCGTTCATCCCATAGTCCTGCCGACTCACGAATAGCGTGGCCTCCTCAAAGGGCCTGAGCAAGCGCAGGTGTCACGCATGAGCTGACAATGGCTGACATCTAAGTTACACAGGGAGTACCTTTATCCGCTTTTAACATCAGGAAATCTGTGATGGCCTTTCGCTGTTCGTAAAGGCGGTCTAACAATGTAGTGTTGAATTCCACCTTGTTGCAACGTCACAGCATGAGGAGTCGGTACGGGGGCCCATGGCAGATTACGTGCCTGGCAGCAGCAATGGGAGGCCCGTAATCTGCCAGCACCCTATGTCAAAAAATTGAACACACCAGCAGTGTGAGGAGACCTCAAAGTGGCACATGGCAGAGTGTGGAGCAATGGGAGGCGGTACAGGGACCCAGGTCACACTGTGGGCTCAGCAGCAGCGTGACCAGGCGGTACGGGGGCCCATGGCCGATTTGGGGCCTGGTGGCACCTATGGAAGGCCTGTAATCTGCCAGCAACCTATGACAAAATGGACAACCGCAGGAGTGTGAGGAGATTTCAAAGTGGCACATGGCAGAGTGGAAGCAATGGGAGGCCGTACAGGGACCCAGGTCACACTGTGGGATCTCAGCAGCAGCGTGACCAGGCGGTACGGGGGCCCATGGCCGATTTGGGGCCTGGCGGCACCTATGGGAGGCCTGTAATCTGCCAGCACCCTATGACAAAATGGAACCCTGGGCTGGGGCAGGCAGAACCGCCGTATCTTTATCACGGTTTTCCCAGGCCACCGAATGGCGACGCTGCATATGCTGACGCAACGCTGTAGTCCCAACATGGGCCCCTGGCCACGCTTGACTTTCTGGCCACATAGTCGACATACGGCTACGTTTACTTCCTCGGCGGCTTGACGACGAAAAATTGCCACACCGCAGAGTAGGAAACTTTGCCTCCGCTACTCCTCACTGGCTGACTGCTACTTCCTCCGTGCACACCGGCACCACTACTGGCCGTGGTGGTAGGCTGCAGTGGAGCTGGTGCTCTACTCCGTGGCCGTTTGCCTCCACTGACACTGCTGCGACCCTGCTGCCTCCTGGCAGCAGCAATGGGAGGCCGTACAGGGACCCATGAGAGACTCTGGACTTGGCAGCAGCATGAGGAGGCGGGGTATATAGGGGCCCATGGCAGATTAGGGGCCTGGCAGCAGCTATAGGAGGCCCGTAATCTGCCAGCACCCTATGTCAAAAAATTCAACACACCAGCAGTGTGAGGAGACCTGAAAGTGGCACATGGCAGAGTGTGGCGATGGAGACAGCAGCAATGGGAGGCCGTACAGGGACCCATGAGAGACTCTGGACCTGGCAGCAGCATGAGGAGGCGGTATATAGGGGCCCATGGCAGATTAGGGGCCTGGCAGCAGCTATAGGAGGCCCGTAATCTGCCAGCACCCTATGTCAAAAAATTCAACACACCAGCAGTGTGTGAGGAGACCTGAAAGTGGCACATGGCAGAGTGTGGCGATGGAGACAGCAGCAATGGGAGGCCGTACAGGGACCCATGAGAGACTCTGGACTTGGCAGCAGCATGAGGAGGCGGTATATAGGGGCCCATGGCAGATTAGGGGCCTGGCAGCAGCTATGGGAGGCCCGTAATCTGCCAGCACCCTATGTCAAAAAATTGAAAACACAAGCAGTGTGAAGAGACCTGAAATGTGGCACATGGCAGAGTGTGGCGATGGAGACAGCAGCAATGGGAGGCCGTACAGGGACCCATGAGAGACTCTGGACTTGGCAGCAGCATGAGGAGGCGGTATATAGGGGCCCATGGCAGATTAGGGGCCTGGCAGCAGCTATAGGGAGGCCCGTAATCTGCCAGCACCCTATGTCAAAAAATTCTACACACCAGCAGTGTGAGGAGACCTGAAAGTGGCACATGGCAGAGTGTGGCGATGGAGACAGCAGCAATGGGAGGCCGTACAGGGACCCATGAGAGACTCTGGACCTGGCAGCAGCATGAGGAGGCGGTATATAGGGGCCCATGGCAGATTAGGGGCCTGGCAGCAGCTATAGGAGGCCCGTAATCTGCCAGCACCCTATGTCAAAAAATTCAACACACCAGCAGTGTGAAGAGACCTGAAAGTGGCACATGGCAGAGTGTGGCGATGATGGAGACAGCAGCAATGGGAGGCCGTACAGGGACCCATGAGAGACTCTGGACCTGGCAGCAGCATGAGGAGGCGGTATATAGGGGCCCATGGCAGATTAGGGGCCTGGCAGCAGCTATAGGAGGCCCGTAATCTGCCAGCACCCTATATGTCAAAAAATTCAACACACCAGCAGTGTGTGAGGAGACCTGAAAGTGGCACATGGCAGTGTGTGGCGATGGAGACAGCAGCAATGGGAGGGCCGTACAGGGACCCATGAGAGACTCTGGACTTGGCAGCAGCATGAGGAGGCGGTATATATAGGGGCCCATGGCAGATTAGGGGCCTGGCAGCAGCTATGGGAGGCCCCGTAATCTGCCAGCACCCTATGTCAAAAAATTCTACACACAAGCAGTGTGTGAGGAGACCTGAAAGTGGCACATGGCAGAGTGTGGCGATGGAGACAGCAGCAATGGGAGGCCGTACAGGGACCCATGAGAGACTCTGGACCTGGCAGCAGCATGAGGAGGCGGTATATAGGGGCCCATGGCAGATTAGGGGCCTGGCAGCAGCTATAGGGAGGCCCGTAATCTGCCAGCACCCTATGTCAAAAAATTCAACACACCAGCAGTGTGTGAGGAGACCTGAAAGTGGCACATGGCAGAGTGTGGCGATGGAGACAGCAGCAATGGGAGGCCGTACACAGGGACCCATGAGAGACTCTGGACCTGGCAGCAGCATGAGGAGGCGGTATATAGGGGCCCATGGCAGATTAGGGGCCTGGCAGCAGCTATAGGAGGCCCGTAATCTGCCAGCACCCTATGTCAAAAAATTCACACACCAGCAGTGTGTGAGGAGACCTGAAAGTGGCACATGGCAGAGTGTGGCGATGGAGACAGCAGCAATGGGAGGCCGTACAGGGACCCATGAGAGACTCTGGACTGGCAGCAGCATGAGGGAGGCGGTATATAGGGGGGCCCATGGCAGATTAGGGGCCTGGCAGCAGCTATGGGAGGCCCGTAATCTGCCAGCAGCCCCTATGTCAAAAAATTGAAAACACAAGCAGTGTGAGGAGACCTGAAAGTGGCACATGGCAGAGTGTGGCGATGGAGACAGCAGCAATGGGAGGCCGTACAGGGACCCATGAGAGACTCTGGACCTGGCAGCAGCATGAGGAGGCGGTATAGGGGGCCCATAGGGGCCCATGGCAGATTAGGGGCCTGGCAGCAGCTATAGGAGGCCCGTAATCTGCCAGCACCCTATGTCAAAAAATTCAACACACCAGCAGTGTGTGAGGAGACCTGAAAGTGGCACATGGCAGAGTGTGGCGATGGAGACAGCAGCAATGGGAGGCCGTACAGGGACCCATGAGAGACTCTGGACTTGGCAGCAGCATGAGGAGGCGGTATATAGGGGCCCATGGCAGATTAGGGGCCTGGCAGCAGCTATGGGAGGCCCGTAATCTGCCAGCACCCTATGTCAAAAAATTCAACACACCAGCAGTGTGTGAGGAGACCTGAAAGTGGCACATGGCAGAGTGTGGCGATGGAGACAGCAGCAATGGGAGGCCGTACAGGGACCCATGAGAGAGACTCTGGGACTTGGCAGCAGCATGAGGAGGCGGTATATAGGGGCCCATGGCAGATTAGGGGCCTGGCAGCAGCTATGGGAGGCCCGTAATCTGCCAGCACCCTATGTCAAAAAATTTTGACACACACAGCAGTGTGAGGAGACCTGAAAGTGGCACATGGCAGAGTGTGGCGATGGAGACAGCAGCAATGGGAGGCCGTACAGGGACCCATGAGAGACTCTGGACTGGCAGCAGCATGAGGAGGCGGGGTATATAGGGGCCCATGGCAGATTAGGGGCCTGGCAGCAGCTATGGGAGGCCCGTAATCTGCCAGCACCCTATGTCAAAAAATTTCAACACACCAGCAGTGTGTGAGGAGACCTGAAAGTGGGGCACATGGCAGAGTGTGGCGATGGAGACAGCAGCAATGGGAGGCCGTACAGGGACCCATGAGAGACTCTGGACCTGGCAGCAGCATGAGGAGGCGGTATATAGGGGCCCATGGCAGATTAGGGGCCTGGCAGCAGCTATGGGAGGCCCGTAATCTGCCAGCACCCTATGTCAAAAAATTCAACACACCAGCAGTGTGTGAGGAGACCTGAAAGTGGCACATGGCAGAGTGTGGCGATGGAGACAGCAGCAATGGGAGGCCGGGCCGTACAGGGACCCATGAGAGACTCTGGACCTTGGCAGCAGCATGAGGAGGCGGTATATAGGGGCCCATGGCAGATTAGGGGCCTGGCAGCAGCTATAGGAGGCCCGTAATCTGCCAGCACCCTATGTCAAAAAATTCAACACACCAGCAGTGTGAGGAGACCTGAAAGTGGCACATGGCAGTGTGGGCGATGGAGACAGCAGCAATGGGAGGCCGTACAGGGACCCATGAGAGACTCTGGACTGGCAGCAGCATGAGGAGGCGGTATATAGGGGCCCATGGCAGATTAGGGGCCTGGCAGCAGCTATGGGAGGCCCGTAATCTGCCAGCACCCTATGTCAAAAAATTCAACACACAGCAGCAGTGTGAGGAGACCTGAAAGTGGCACATGGCAGAGTGTGTGGCGATGGAGACAGCAGCAATGGGAGGCCGTACAGGGACCCATGAGAGACTCTGGACCTGGCAGCAGCATGAGGAGGCGGTATATAGGGGCCCATGGCAGATTAGGGGCCTGGCAGCAGCTATAGGAGGCCCGTAATCTGCCAGCACCCTATGTCAAAAAAAATTCACACACACCAGCAGTGTGTGAGAGACCTGAAAGTGGCACATGGCAGAGTGTGGCGATGGAGACAGCAGCAATGGGAGGCCGTACAGGGACCCATGAGAGACTCTGGACCTGGCAGCAGCATGAGGAGGCGGTATAGGGGGCCCATGGCAGATTAGGGGCCTGGCAGCAGCTATGGGAGGCCCGTAATCTGCCAGCACCCTATGTCAAAAAATTCAACACACCAGCAGTGTGTGAGGAGACCTGAAAGTGGCACATGGCAGAGTGTGGCGATGGAGACAGCAGCAATGGGAGGCCGTACAGGGACCCATGAGAGACTCTGGACCTGGCAGCAGCATGAGGAGGCGGGCGGTATATAGGGGCCCATGGCAGATTAGGGGCCTGGCAGCAGCTATGGGAGGCCCGTAATCTGCCAGCACCCTATGTCAAAAAATTCAACACACAGCAGTGTGTGAGAGACCTGAAAGTGGCACATGGCAGAGTGTGGCGATGGAGACAGCAGCAATGGGAGGCCGTACAGGGACCCATGAGAGACTCTGGACCTGGCAGCAGCATGAGGAGGCGGTATAGGGGCCCATGGCAGATTAGGGGCCTGGCAGCAGCTATAGGAGGCCCGTAATCTGCCAGCACCCTATGTCAAAAAATTCAACACACACAGCAGTGTGAGGAGGAGACCTGAAAGTGGCACATGGCAGAGTGTGGCGATGGAGACAGCAGCAATGGGAGGCCGTACAGGGACCCATGAGAGACTCTGGACCTGGCAGCAGCAGCATGAGGAGGCGGTATATAGGGGCCCATGGCAGATTAGGGGCCTGGCAGCAGCTATGGGGAGGCCCGTAATCTGCCAGCACCCTATGTCAAAAAATTCAACACACCAGCAGTGTGTGAGGAGACCTGAAAGTGGCACATGGCAGAGTGTGGCGATGGAGACAGCAGCAATGGGAGGCCGTACAGGGACCCATGAGAGACTCTGGACCTGGCAGCAGCATGAGGAGGCGGTATATAGGGGCCCATGGCAGATTAGGGGCCTGGCAGCAGCTATGGGAGGCCCGTAATCTGCCAGCACCCTATGTCAAAAAATCTACACACCAGCAGTGTGTGAGGAGACCTGAAAGTGGCACATGGCAGAGTGTGGCGATGGAGACAGCAGCAATGGGAGGCCGTACAGGGACCCATGAGAGACTCTGGACTGGCAGCAGCATGAGGAGGCGGTATATAGGGGCCCATGGCAGATTAGGGGCCTGGCAGCAGCTATGGGAGGCCCGTAATCTGCCAGCACCCTATGTCAAAAAATTGAAAACACCAGCAGTGTGTGAGGAGACCTGAAAGTGGCACATGGCAGAGTGTGGCGATGGAGACAGCAGCAATGGGAGGCCGTACAGGGACCCATGAGAGACTCTGGACTTGGCAGCAGCATGAGGAGGCGGTATATAGGGGCCCATGGCAGATTAGGGGCCTGGCAGCAGCTATGGGAGGCCCGTAATCTGCCAGCACCCTATGACAAAAAATGGAACACACCAGCAGTGTGTGAGGAGACCTGAAAGTGGCACATGTTTGAGGCATGATTCATGGCGGATTTAGTCAGTTGTGTCAGGAACTGGTGGTTTGAAATCCAGACTGACTATCACGCCTGATTCATTTTCACAAACGTGAGTCTCTCCACACTTTGGGTGGACAGTCGTGTCCTCCGCGGAGTTACAATACCTCCTGCCGCACTAAACACGCGCTCCGATGCCACGCTACTGGCCGGGCATGACAGCCTTTCAAGGGCAAATTCAGCTAGTTGGGGCCAAAGGTCAAGTTTCGTTGCCCAGTAGTCAAGGGGATTGTCTACCTCGGTTGGCAGGGGGTGCTGTCCAAGTAGGCCCAAGCCTGTTGTTTGAGGTCCTGCTCCAGGTCCACCTGCTGCTGCTGCTGCTGCTGCTGCTGGGCTGGTTAGTAGTTTCCTCACTGCGCTGGTGAAGAAAGCTACTCATCATCGACTGCAGACTGAGGCAGCCGCTGCTGGTGGAGCTGCCACTGCTCCTACCACCCCACCCCCCCCTGCTGCCATGGCAGCGGAACGCGAGCGCACAGGGCCCACAGTGTCTGAGGATGGACGTTGGCGCACAAAGGCAGAGACCAACTGACTACATAGGTGGTTTTTATAGTACGTTATTTTGGCCTCCCTCTCAGCAGGTGTGAAAAAGGCCACCATTTTTGAACGGTAGCGAGGGTCCAACAAGGTGGACAGCCAAAAGTCATCCCTCTGTCTGATGGTTATTATTCGGCTGTCGCTACGCAAGCAAGCGAGCATGCTATGGGCCATTTGTGCCAAGGAATGCGAGGGACTCCCTGCCTCCATCTCCACAGCATACTGCCACGGTGCGTCTGGGTCCTCTGTCTCCTCCTCCTCCTCCTCCTCTACCAGATGCTCCTGCTCCTCCACTCCTGTCCGTCCGCTGAGTGGAAAAACCACCCATTTCACTCAATAATTCCTGAGCACAAATGTCCTCCTCTACCTCCTCCTCTTCTTCCTGTCCTGCCCCCACAGGGGTCATGTGGCGTTGAGATCTGTGCGCCACGTCTACCGCACCCTGACCAGCCATTGTTAACAGCATTTGTTCAAGGACGTGCAACAGAGGAATGACGTCGTTCATCCCATAGTCCTGCCGACTCACGAATAGCGTGGCCTCCTCAAAGGGCCTGAGCAAGCGGCAGGTGTCACGCATGAGCTGCCAATGGCTGACATCGAAGTTACACAGGGGAGTACCTTTATCCGCTTGTAACATCAGGAAATCGGTGATGGCCTTTCGCTGCTCGTAAAGGCGGTCTAACATGTGTAGGGTTGAATTCCACCTTGTTGCAACGTCGCAGATCAGGCGATGATGTGGAATTCCGTTCTGCCGCTGCAGCTCAAGGAGGGTGTGCTTTGCGGTGTAGGAATGGCTGAAATGCATGCAAAGTTTACGTGACATTTTAAGGATGTCTTGCAGTGGGATGGTGGATTTTAGGAACCGCTTGACAACCAGATTGAACACGTGAGCCATGCATGGCGCATGGCACAACCTTCCTTGACGCAGAGCAGACACCATGTTCTTTCCGTTGTCGGTCAACATGGTTCCGATTTTCAGTTTGCGCGGAGACAGCCATCTGTCGATTTCTCTGTTCATTACACTCAGAAGTTCCTCCCCTGTGTGACTACGTTCGCCAAGGCATACCAGGTGCAGAACAGCGTGACACCGTTGCGCCCTGCACATGTGATATGCCGGTCGGGTAATGGGACTTGGCACGGGGGGGGGGGTGAGGCGGCTGAGGACACGGCGGAAGAAGAGGTGGTAGAGGCGGACATCTTTGCCGGACCAAGGGACGTGCAAACGGGAGGCAAAAGCGGCGTGACCTGTCCAAGTTGCTGGTGCGGCTGTGACGGCACCACGTTCACCCAGTGGGCCGTAAATGACATGTACTGTACTGTCCCTGACCGTAGTTACAGCTCCACACGTCGGCGCTGCCGTGCACTTTGGCAGAGACCGACATGCTCAAAGACTGGCCCCACCATGTCTTCTACATGTGAATGCAGGGCTGGCACTGCACTGCCTTTTGGGCGAAGAAATGACGGCTTGGCACTCTCCACCGCGGCGCGGCACAAGCCATCATTTCTCTGAAAGGTGCTGAGTCCACCACTTGGAAAGGGAGGGACTGCAGCACCAGCAACTTGGACAGGAGGACGTTCAGCTTTTGCACCGTCGGGTGCGTGCTCGCAAACTGTTGTCTCTTGGAAACGGATTCCAAGAAAGACTGCTGACGGAATCCGTGAAGAGGAGTAGCAGGAGAAGGAGCATCTGAACGAGCGGAAGATGCCAACGAGCGACAACTCCCCTCAGCAGAGGTGTTGGAGCCTTGACTGGCTGATGGAGGGCGATTGACGTCGGGTGACGGAGCAAGTAACGGAGCGGGTGATGGAGCGGGGGCTGGGGCGGGCAGAACCGCCGTATCTTTATCACGGTTTTCCCAGGCCACCAAATGGCGACGCTGCATATGCTGCCGCAACGCTGTAGTCCCAACATGGGCCCCCTGGCCACGCTTTGACTTTCTGGCCACATAGTCGACATACGGCTACGTTTACTTCCTCGGGCGGCTTGACGAAAAATTGCCACACCGCCGAGTAGGAAACTTTGCCCCCGATACTCCTCACTGGCTGACTGCTGCTTCCTCCGTGCACACCGGCACCACTACTGGCCGTGGTGGTAGGCTGCAGTGGAGCTGGTGCTCTACTCCGTGGCCGTTTGGCTCCACTGACACTGCTTCCACTGACACTGCTGCGACCCTGCTGCTGTCTCCTGGGCAACCCACCGACTGTTTCGCTCACTGCCAAGCTGCCACCCTCTTCTCCTGATGATGCGGAAGAAATTGCCTGATGACGACGAGGCTGCCAAGTGCGATCAACCTCCTCATCATCAAGTAGGGTCTCCGCCTCACTACTAGCCCCCTCGGCTGCGTCTGGGTCAGGAGACAGACCTGTCTCTAGACCGGCTACCGGGCCACTCTCCTCGCCACTACTTCTTCGCCTGGCTGCTGAAAAGGCGGATGTCTCCCCCCGTTCCTGACCGCCCTCTGTTAGCTCTTCCTCACTGTACAGTGGGGCTGAGCCCACAGCATGCGATACTTCGCTTGGTGAGGGAACACCAAAGGACAGGGGCAGGTAGAGGACACGTGATTTCAGTGGGCTTGGTCCCGGGCCATGCCAACTAACGGTTGTGTCTGACGTACCCACCGACCGTTGGCTGTAGGTGTCAGAGGTGACCTGGGAAGAGGAAGACGACCGAGAGCCAACCAATCGATGACGGCAGGGTTGTCGGTGGAGACACGACCGCTGGATGACACCGGGAGCACTGGCCTCTGGCTGCGAATAGTGCTGCCTCGACCCCTTCCTCTGCTGCCACGTCTGCTCGCTCCTAAAACATTGCCTCCTCTGCCACTCCTCTGCATGTTGTCTGACATACTCTTTAATTCAACGATTCTGTGTCCCTGAGTAACAATTCTGTGTCCCTGAGTAACAATTCTGTGTCTGTCCCTGAGTAACAATTCTGTGGCCCTAAGTAACGGTTCTGTGTCCCTCAGTAACAATTCTGTGTCCCTCAGTAACAATTCTGTGTCTGTCCCTGAGTAACAATTATGTGGCCCTAAGTAACGTTTCTGTGGCCCTCAGTAACAATTCTGTGTCCCCTGATTAACGTTTATGTGGCCCTAAGTAACGGTTCTGTGGCCCTCAGTAACGGTTTCTGTGGCCCTCAGTAACAATTCTGTGTCCCTGATTAACGTTTCTGTGGCCCTAAGTAACGGTTCTGTGGCCCTCAGTAACAATTTCTGTGTCCCTGATTAACGTTTCTGTGTGGCCCTAAGTAACGGTTCTGTGGCCCTCAGTAACAATTCTGTGTCCCTCAGTTTAACCCTAATTCTGTGGCCCTCAGTAACAATTCTGTGTCCCTGAGTAACGTTCTGTGTCTGTGGCCCTAAGTAACGGTTCTGTGGCCCTCAGTAACAATTCTGTGTCCCTCAGTAACAATTCTGTGTCCCTGATTAACGTTTCTGTGGCCCTAAGTAACGGTTCTGTGGCCCTCAGTAAAAATTCTGTGTCCCTCAAGAAACAATTCTGTGTCTGTCCGTGAGTAACAATTCTGTGGCCCTAAGTAACGGTTCTGTGGCCCTAAGTAACAATTCTGTGTCCCTGATTAACGTTTATGTGGCCCTAAGTAACGGTTTCTGTGGCCCTCAGTAACAATTCTGTGTCCCTGATTAACGTTTATGTGGCCCTAAGTAACGGTTCTGTGGCCCTCAGTAACAATTTCTGTGTACCTCAGTAACAATTCTGTGTCTGTCCCCTGATAACGTTTACGTGGCCCTAAGTAACGGTTCTGTGGCCCTCAGTAACAATTCTGTGTCCCTGATTAACGTTTATGTGGCCCTAAGTAACGGTTCTGTGGCCCTCAGTAAAAATTCTGTGTCCCTCAAGAAAACAATTCTGTGTCTGTCCGTGAGTAACAATTCTGTGGCCCTAAGTAACGGTTCTGTGGCCCTAAGTAACAATTCTGTGTCCCTGATTAACGTTTATGTGGCCCTAAGTAACGGTTCTGTGGCCCTCAGTAACAATTCTGTGTCCCCTGATTAACGTTTATGTGGCCCTAAGTAACGGTTTCTGTGGCCCTCAGTAACAATTCTGTGTACCTCAGTAACAATTCTGTGTCTGTCCCTGATTAACGTTTACTGTGGCCCTAAGTAACGGTTCTGTGGCCCTCAGTAACAATTCTGTGTACCTCAGTAACAATTCTGTGTCTGTCCCTGATTAACGTTTACGTGGCCCTAAGTAACGGTTCTGTGGCCCTCAGTAACAATTCTGTGTCCCTGATTACGTTTCTGTGGCCCTAAGTAACGGTTCTGTGGCCCTCAGTAAAAATTCTGTGTCCCTCAAGAAACAATTCTGTGTCTGTGTGTGGCCCTAAGTAACAATTCTGTGGCCCTAAGTAACGGTTCTGTGGCCCTCAGTAACAATTCTGTGTCCCTGATTAACGTTTA